ACGAGACAAATAAAAACCAATGGCAAACCTGAATATTTGCTTTCTCAATGATGCAGCTACCTTCAACTCTGGTCAGAGTTAAGGTACCTTTAAGTTGGGACCAGAAAACCAGCTTGTTGGAGTGGAAAGAATTCTAGTCTAGAGTCAGGGACACGGGTTCTAGTTCTGTTGATGCTACCAGCTAGGTGAGTAGCCTTAAGCAAGTCACTTAACTTTCTCACCTTCTCAGGGTTTACTTTTCTTATTTAAGAGGTTAAGTAGACCAGTGTTTCCTAAACTCACCTAACCTCAGGTTAACTGTTAACAATATGGATTCCAAGGCCCCTTCCCTGGAGATTCTGCTTCAGGAGGTCCCTCTGAGTGAGGCCTGGGACCTATTCTTAATAAGTGATCCAAGTAATTCTTATCATCTGCTAAGTTTCGCAAACAGTGGATAGATGATCCTCGAGTCGCCTGCCTTCCAGCTCTGATTCTATACTCTGGATATTTCGTAATTGTGTTCTAAAATCACATAAAATTAGAATAGCCTGAAGTGTGTTACTGCACAAAAATAACAAATGTACAAGATCATAGAAACAAATACATCTCCCCCCATACCCAACATCATTCATACCTTTAAACACCAATAAAAACATCCTCCTAGATTCTAGGAGAGTGGAACATTTTATTCAGTGAGAAAAAAGTTTTTATTTATTTATTTATTTTTATTTATTTTTAAATTTTATTTATTTATTTTTTCCCCCAAAGCCCCAGTAGATAGTTGTATGTCATAGCTGCATAGCCTTCTAGTTGCTGTATGTGGGACGCGGCCTCAGCATGGCCGGAGAAGCAGTGCGTCGGTGCGCGCCTGGGATCCGAACCTGGGCTGCCAGCAGCGGGGCGCGCGCACTTAACCACCAAGCCACGGGGCCGGCCCGAAAAAAGTTTTTAATGTTAAACTCTCAACACATTAATGTGAAAAGATTTGTTGTGTTATAGGAAGAGACAATTGTACACCTAATGTTTTAAGTAAAAACTATACATTGCATTCTTCCCTTAAAGGACATTATCTGGTGATCCTACCTGCTCCTAGCTAAGAAAAAGCTAGGAAAAGCCTGCCTAAGTCCCTAGCAGCTATAAAACAAGCATCCTCTGTAATACTGGAATGCAATTGTTACAACACTAAAAGAAAACAAAACAAAACAACAATAACTGGTTACTAATTCTTCAAATTCAACCCCAGTGGAGACAGCTGGGTGGCTAAGAGTCCACAACGTTTGTTAGGAAGGTTTTATCAGGTAAATGGAGAGCTTCTGCACACAAGGTAGCAATCTTTAATTTTGTGTTTCTTTCCTCTACACTCTTTTAGACAGTTTTTCTAAAATTCTCATAATCGTCTAGGGGGATTTACTTTTATTCTTTTAGATTTATAAGTAACTACAAAACTAACAAAAGAGAAAGACTGATTGCATGACGCACAGGGGCAGAGCTGTAAGGATGGTCATTAGCAACCAATTATTATATAGGTGGCTACAAAAAATGTAAATAAAATCAAGATTAAAACACAAAACTGAGTTTGAGTCACCTTTGCAACAGAAACAGATAAGAAACTAAGAGTGAAACATTACTACATACCACTTTAGCTGTTAGAAAAACAGTTGTCAGGTAGTCCACTAAAGTAGCACACAAGTATACTATAACTTTAGGATAAAACGTTTCAAAATAAATCTTGATGCTTGACGCTTGACGTGGAAATGTGGGAAAGAGAATTCTTTAGATTTACGATCACACAGGCCAAAAAATTAATTTATTTTAATGGCAAAAGTGGGGACACCAATTGTTATGGACATCACAGAACCACTGGATTTAAAGCCATACATATGTTTAAAGGCATTTCTCTATCTGTTGCCCAACAAGCTCCCAGGCAACGTTTTGACAAAAGACCACACCTCACACTCACTTAAAACAGAAATGTGCCAATCAGGATCCAGGGGACCAGAATACTAGAATGTGAAGAGCGCCGTCACACACACCTTAGTTAAAACCCCAGGTCAACAAATTGCTGCGTGACCTTGAACAAATCATTTAACTGAAGGCTCAATTTCCTCATGTGTAAAATTGAGATAATGCTTCACTCAGCCATTATCAGATTTAAACAAGGTGATTCATGTAAAGCATCCAGCCCTGTACCTGGCACAGAGCAAATAACTAAGAAATAATAATAATAAGCTAACTGTAAAATTAGCATAATTACTGTCTTCCAACCTCAAGTAAAGCTAAGAGTTTCCTGGAAACCAACCAAAAAGTTCTAATTGTCAGAAAGACAACATTCACATCTGCTTATATAAAGGTAGTTTTTCATTTCTTTCCACATTACAGAAACTTTCCCCTCCTTAGTAAAGAATAACTCAGACTAATGATGTACAGCCATATACAGGAAAGGCTGAATGCAGACATTCTCAATTAGGAAGGGTAATTTTCAATGAGATCCGGATTAATGATCTAACCAGTTTTGGGGACTACAGTTGGTATTGTTAGGAGAAAGAGGGAAAGAGAGGAAGAAAAAGCCTTCAAACCATCACACACACCACTATTCAATAGAGAAAAATAACAGACGGTTGACTGTTCACATTATTTCATAATTGAATTAGAAAATGAAGAAAAAAATTAAGTGAAATATTTTACCTCATACAGAACAACGAACTAACACAGCTGTTAGTAAGGTTAAAGGGACCAAACTCATCAAGAAATCAAGAAAGGGAAGGTGAAATAGCAATTATTCCTATAGTTTAGTAACAATGCCCACTCTATCCCTTTAAGATCATGGCTCAAATTTTCCGTTTGCAACCGTCTTTGCCTGCTCTTCCGAATATGCCACCAGCTTGAATGTACCTTTAACTTGTACTATGTTCTTAACCACTACATCATTCTGATTAAGGACAAAAATAAAATCCTGTGTATTATTATTCTTCTGGAATTCATGGGAAAATATTAGTAATCCAATCATTTAAAGAATACATGTCAAAGAAAATACTAGAGAGAATTTTGGGGAGAAAAAAAGTTCCTCATTAAAATAAATTAGTCCTAGGAAAATTGTTCAAGGTCAACCAAAAACAAGTTTCAAAATAATGCAAATTTTGAAATTTTGGGTTGGGGCAAGATTAATGAGTTGTGAGGTGCAGAGCTAAATTCTCAAAGAAAAAAGATGCAGAAGTGAAGAAAAGACGTCAGCAGGGAGTACACACCAGTGCTATCGATCCATCAGCAGACGTGCAAAAATTCTGAATAATAAAAAAAAACATAGAATAAGTTATCTGTATCAATATTGGGCAATTTAGCAACAGAATGAAAATAAAAGTACTATTTCAGAGGCATTTTCAAACATTTCAAGATAACTTTCTGTATTTCAGATATTACTGCAAAATGAAAGAAGAAACTCGTTAGATACTCTAATTAACAATTTAGTAGTGAAAGAATAATGACACCCCAAATGAAGTTCTGTCACCTAGAGATAATGGACATTTTCTTTTTCCTGTTTAAGAATCCGGAAGAATGTCCTTCTGCTTTTAAATGCAAATTACCAATCTTCAAAGCACATTCTGCTCTATTCCTTTATCTGAAAATTACTGCAATGTGATCCTGTTCCAGAGAGGACACCATTCAGGCAGGAAAATGGAATTAGGACAACCACATACCCTGTGAGTATGTTCAGATCATCACATCCAGTGAGCTGTCACCACTCACACATCGCCATTTTCAGTGAAGAAACCACTACTGGTGCCCAAAATTCTATTTGAAGAAGGAAAACTTAGTTTTGAGGACTATCAGGTCGTTAAAGGTTACATACACATTTTAATATGTGTGCAAGGACGAGCATCATAGCGATTCAAACACTCAGCATCCCTTGTTTTCAAATAACAACACTAGCTATTTACTGGAAACATTTTTAAAGGTAGAATATCAGTAACAATAATATGAGTTGCTATTTACCTGTTCAGTACATGGTAAAACAAACAAACAAAAACCACCACGATGCAAACAGAGGTGAGAACACCAGACTCTGCACTTCTCTTCTCTGTTATAACTCCCTGGAACAGTCAGCGCTGACTTGGAGACATACTTCAATTTCATGTACCAGGTGATCAAGGTTAAAAAGAACACTTTTAAATCCGAAAGACTCAAGAAATAAATAACCATAATAGGGGGATTCATCCCATCGTTAAAGGTTCAGGCTTTCTGCCAAAACCACACTTGATTTGGGAAATTTTACTTGTTGTCAGAATATAAACAAATAGTGAAGAAAGCTAGACAAGATAAAGCCTCGTAAAAGGTTAACTTACCTCTAGCCTTTCCAAGTTATATATTAATAACTAACTTTAGTTTAAAAAAAAAAAAAACTCGTTTCTAGCTAAGGCAAGTCACGTCCAAATGAGTGAATTCTTTTGGTGATATATGGCTCGCTCCATCCCCTATCCTCAAAGGCAGACCTCAATCTTCCCCATAGGTCACCAGACAACCAGGAACAGAGCTATTGAAAATGCACTTCCAATCTCTGAAACATCAGTGAATGTTTAAGGAGGAGGAAAAGGATTGTATTTGGTTTAGAAAAGCTATTTAAATGTTTTCCAAATGCCTGCGGTTAGTACATATCCACCAAATGGCATAGCATGACATCAGCCGGCCCCTACTTGCATCTACCCACTCAGAACCCGGGCAATGAATGCAGCAGACCCCTCAAGACCAGAAGGCTGGGCAGAGCATCATGCACAGAAAATAGGAAGCCTGCTTTTTGATATGGGAAAAAGCAAGAGAAGCCAGTCTTGTGCTTTTATAGAACCTAGAAGCTCTTACTAGTTTAATCCATCCCCAAATCCACGCCACCCTTTCAACTTTGCAATTAAGAGAGAGGAGAAATTCCGGTCAGCTCGCCTTAGAGGGTTGGTCTGAGGGTAGAGGGCTCAAGGAGGGAGGAGGATCGAAAGAGAAAGAGCAAGCCAACGAAAGATACCAAAATTTCCCACCTTTCTTAAATTCTTCCAGCATAGCATCCAACTTGGTGTCATTGAAAACAAAGTGCAAGGGGTGGTTATAAAATTTAGTGATGGTTTTCAGGGGAGTACAGTCATCTGGATCCACGAAGGCCAAGTCTTTGACAAAGAGGAGGTCCACGATGTTGGAGCGCTCCCCCTCAAACACTGGAATGCGAGTGTAGCCGCTCTCCATGATCTCCGACATGGTGTTGAAGTCCAGAATGGCTTCGCCGGTGATCATGAAGCAATCCCGGAGGGGAGTCATCACGTCCTCCACTGTCTTGGTGCGGAGCTCCAGCGCGCCTTGGATGATGTTCAGCTCCTCCTTTACGAGGTCGTTGTAGGGGTCGGTGACCCGGAGCATCTCCAGCAGTTTTTCCCGGTTATAGACGGTGCCTATCTCCTGGCCCAGGACGCAGTCCAGCAGCTTGCTGACCGGGTAAGAAGCGGGGAAGGTCATCATCATGAAAAACTTGGTGAGGAAGATGGTGTTGGCCCCTACAGCCAGGCCGTGTCGGGAGCAGATGGCCTGGGGCACGATCTCCCCGAAGATGACGATGCCGATGGTGGAGACCACCACGGCCACGAGGCCTGAACCGGCGATGTCGTCGAGCAGGATGGTGAGCGTGGTGTTGACCAGCACGTTGCCCAGCAGCAGCGAGCACAGCAGGTAGTTGCCCTGCCTGCGCACGGGCTCGATGCGCTTGGCGTAATTTTTCTCCTTCTCCGTGCCGCAGTTCTGCACGATGCGCAGCTCCATCGGGTCCAGGGCCATGAGCCCCAGGTTGAGGCCGCTGAACATGCCGGACAGGCACAGGAGCAGCGAAATGAAGATCACCTGCAGCCAGAAGGGCAGCAGGAACTTCTTCTCCTCGCCCACGATCATCTTGGTGTCCTCGCCGTCGTGGTAAATCCAGGTGGTCTCAGCCCACGGGGGCGGCGGGAGCCCGGCCACCCCGGAGCCGCCCTTGCCTCCGACAGTGCCACCCGCGGACGCCGGGCCGCCGGCGCCCAGGGCGGGCGTGGAGAGCGACGTGCACAGGTAATAGGACTTGCTCTTCTCCATCTTGCGCAGCGGTTTGATCTCGATCTCAATGATGCCCGATGTACGGCGGTTGAGAATGATATGGGGCAAGATGATGATATCTGAGGTACGGATGCCGCAGCGCTGGGGGCCGCTGTCCGGCTCTGGCGGCGCCGGGCCCCCCAGCCCGCGCTCGCCGGGGCTGTGGCGCTGCCGCTCGTGCTCGGTGAAGGCGATGCGGGACCACGTCTCGTTGTTGATGTTCTGCCCGTACACCCGCAGCTTGACCCGGGTCCGCTCGCTCACCCGCAGCGCCCCCCCTTCCATGAACGACACGTCGTTCGTGTCCTCCAGCCGCAACCCGATGATCACCGTCTCCTCGTTCTCGCCCGCCGCTGCGCAGCCGCCCGCGCCGCAGCAGCAGCTCAGCAGTAGCAGCGGCAGTAGCCGCCCCGCCGCCTGCAGAACCCACCGGCCGCGGGCGCTGAGGCTGCGGCGCGCGGCCATCTTCCAAGTGGGCAGTGCGGCGACTGCCTGCCCGCCCGCCATCTTTACTTCGGGTTCACAAGCGCCACAGCCAATCATACGGTGGCTGCTCCAGCTGCGGCTTCATCCTTCCCACCCGACGGCGCGAGCGCAGGCACCGGCCCCTGAGCGAGACTGCAACAGAGCGTCCGCACCCAGTGCTCAGCAGCCCGCCTCCTTGACTGACACTGACTCGCCCTCCGCCAGCCAAGGACCCTCGAGGCTCGCGGGAGGGGGGAGAAGGAGGGGGGAGCGCCAGCCCCTCCCGCGAGAGGCAGGCCAACCAGCCAATCACGAGCGGGCGCCCGACCTCCCAGCCAGGGGACTGGGATGGGGGCGTGGTCTCGAGCGGCGCCGCGGACCAATGGCAAGGGAGGTGGGTGGGGCGATGAGGGGGGCGTCCTCCCCAGCACGCCAAGTTTCCAACTGAAAGGCGCGTGACTCTTGTGTATGTGCGAGGGGGGGAGGTGTGGCCAGCCGGGCCCGAGAGCCAGTCACAGACGAGAGCTGTACGAAAGGGGGTGGGGCCTCCAGTTCGGCTGCCAATGAAATGAGGCCGTGCACAGCTCCGCTGCTCCTTGAGGGGCCTCGCTAGCAGATCCCCGCGCCTGGGTCGGCGTGGTTGGACTAATGTCCCGCGGGGCGAGTCGACCGGTTCTGCCTGTACTGCTCTGCCGGCTCCCCAGTGCTCAATACCCGTGAAGAGAGGGCTGCGCCTTCCTGCCCCAGGAGAAGCCCACTCGGCACGGCTTAAGATGCACATTAGCCTAAAAAGAATCCGGGGTGCTTGACCACGCCACCCTCCTGTATCGTGCGCGCCGCTCCGCCCGGGATAAGCGGCGGCCGGGTGACCCCAGCACCCACCGACCAGCTCTTCTGGATCCTCTCACTTCTTACAAGAGGCGCGCACTCTGCACCTGGCGATCAGGTGGCGCCACCTGCCGGCCTCTTGGGAGCCCTGCAACGCTTTCCAGGTCCGCGGCAAACTCCAAAATGTATGCTCGAGGTGGGGAGGTTAGAGTGCAGCAGTTTCCCAAACCTCCAAGTCATAAGAATGCCCTCGTATTCTTGCTGAAAATATGTATTCCCTGGACCCCCTTCCATACGTGCTGAAGGGGTAGAACCCAGGAAAGTTTAGGAAATGGGAGAGGGCAGACATCCTAAGTAGACCCATAAAGGCGCATTATTAATCACGTTGACCAAACCCTGCTGGTTCATAGGTCGCTCAGGAGAAAAAAATCTTGAAGACCTAGCTCCCCAGGACTCCCAAGCCCACTGTCTGGAGGAGACGCGGTAGCAGAGTGGCTGCCAAATTTGTCTTTTTCTCGCAAGTTAAACATCCAAGAGATAATTGCTTTTTTTTTTCTTTTTATTCTGCAAGCACATTTTCATCCGTTTTTGTAAACCAATCGGACGTTTCTGATCAATATCTTGTAGAGATGATTGCAGTGACCTCCTAACTGGCCTCTCTTCTACACCTGCCTCCTTCCCTTCTCAATCCAGCAACCAGAGTGGTTTTGTTAAATCAGACCCTGTAGCTCCCTTGTTTGAAAACCTCCACTGGCTTCCCCATCTCATCACAGTAAAAGCCACAGCACCCAACAATATCCGAGGAGGCTCTCAACAGTCTCCTACCTCCCCTTACTTCTCTGACATCATCACCTGCTGCTCCAGCCAGATTCTCCCAGCTGCTCCTCCTCTCCAGGAGTGCTCCCCTGGGAGCCTGTATACTCGCTGTTGTTTCCCGTGCCTGGGACTCTCTTCCTCCAGGTGTCGACATAGCCCCTTAGTACACCTCCTTCAAAACTGCTCAAAGGCCACTTTTTTTTTTAACTTGTAAACAAATACTCCCTATACTCCATCTCTGCTTTATTTTCCCTAATTTAGTTTATTATCTGTCTCCTTCTGCTACAACTTGACCTTCCTAAGGTCAAGTTTTGTTCACTGCTGTATCACCAGGACCTCTTAGAACAACCGTAGTTGTTCAAAAAAGTATTTGTAGAATGTTAAAGAAATGAAAGAATTTTTATTCCAATTATTTCAAATAATGTCCCAACTCTAGTTTCCAGCCCTTCAGTTTCTGCTGCTGCTTCTCCCACCCCCAATTCTCATACTGCTATATTTGGAAAATAAGTTCAGAAGAAAAAAACCCAATTCACAGACTTGGCATGCATTTATAAAAATAGCGTTATCGAAGTTTAGAAGAAAAACTGAGATTTTTAGGGATATATGACAGAAGTTAAGGATAGCTATGGTCCTTCTAAGTCAGCTGATTGATAATGAAACTGTTTTAACTTCATAAAAAGTTTGAGTACCAGTGTGTTTAAGGGAGCTAAGAGGGAAGATGATTAAAGGCTCTCAAATGCTGAATGTACACTGTGGGATAGGAGTATGGACAAAGGGGTGGGGGAAAGTCTGCCAAACCTGCAGACATATCCTGTGGAGCTCAGAGAAAGCTAGAACAGTCAGGAAAGTGTGGCATTCAGCAATTTAGAAGCAAGTTAGAAATTCAGGGGGCTGGCCCAGTGGCATAGTGGTCAAGTTCGCACACTTGACTTCAGTGCCCTGGGGTTTGCAGATTTGGATCCCAGGCGTGGACCTATGCAGCACTTATCAAGCCATGCTGTGGCAGCCATCCCACATATAAAGTAGAGGAAGATGGCCACAGATGTTAGCCCAGGGCCAATCTTCCTCAGCAAAAAGAGCAAGATTGGCAACAGATGTTCGCTCAGGGCTAATCTTCCTTACCAAAAAAAGAGGAAAAAAGAGAAATTCAGGACTTTATAGCAAAAAGGTCAGAAAGGACTGACCAAGACAATTTACAATATAAAATAAGCCAAGCTCTAATTTACACAGGGGATTGTTGAGTGATGTTTATCCTGGGTGGTGGGGGTGGGTCATATTCATCATGTACACCCCAGACACAGAGCAATCTAGACACCTAAGCCAAGTCATTTTTCCTTAGCAAGAGGGATCTTCCTTCAAGTCTGGAGGATTCTTAGCTCAAGGAGTTATCCTCTCTTTAGCGAGGGGCTGCTGGTGCAGGCTTATCCTGACTTCCAGGGGCTTCCCAGTCTGTCCATCTGGATGAATGCAGGGCAAGGGCATTCATCTTCTGGGGATCTCTTTTTAAATCTGGAAGAAAAAAAATATGACAAAACTCTGAATTCTGATCATATTTCACCTCCAAAAAGGGTTACAAAAGGTCCAAGACTGCTAAATGGTTGCTGCAGACGTCTAATCCTAGGTAGGTTCTGACTCCGACCTTCAGGAAGTCATTTAGGTAAAGCCGCAGTGTCCTAGCAAATACCTTCCCTAACTCACTGTCTCTTGCCAGAATCCTTCACTGGATACTACAAGGGACGAGGGACCATTCAGTTCTCTCATCTGCAAAGGAGAAGCTCCCACGTCTGCAGGTTCCGGGATTTGGGCGGGCACTGCATCCAGACCTAAAAGTCTTTTAGAGTTTGATTTTCTTAAAGATTGCAAGTAAAACACCAAATGGTTCTCTATACATTTTGTTTCTCAACAGAAAGCTCTAATTTTATAAAGAAGCGTCCCCTCCCCACCCCCACCCAAAATTGCCTAGCTGTAGAAAAGTATTCAAAGTTATTGCTTCAACAGTGACATTTTAATTGCTCCAAAGCACCAGGTCTTCTGAGGAAAAACAGGAACTGGGCAAATGCTGGAGTTTCCCAACTTTCCCTAAAACCAAATAGTCCCCCTGAGAGAGATTTCTCAGAAGCAACATTGTCCCCTTGTTTAAATACATAGAGCTCTTTTAGCTCAGATGAAAACTTGCCACAACAGTGGGCAAAAAACCCCAAATCAAATCAAATCAGCAATGCCGTTTACCCTCTCTAGAGGACTTTTCAGGCTTTTTGTTTGGGGCTTTCCTATTTCTTCCTTTTTTAGATATTTTCTGGACGTAGTCACTGGGGTAGGAAGAGAAAGAAAAATGTGGCTTTTTGACGGAGTTGTGAGAAAAGCTTCCTCCCTTGAGGAGGGCCCAAGCTCCTCAGGTGCAGCCCTTCCCGGGAATCCCAAGTCTCCAGGGTGCTCAGGTGGGTGCGAGGGAGCCACCCTGCCGATGGCGGGTCACCCCTTGCCACTTCCACTCTGCCGCCTCCTTCCACCCTCCCTGCACTCCCTGGGCTCCCGGCCCCTCCGAGGTGCACTGGATACACTGCTGTTCTCCCAGGCAGCCTGCCTCTCCTGACCCTCCCAGTGGGGCAGCCCCAAGAAGTCTCCTGCGCTCTGTGCTGTCACCCACTTCCTTCCTCCACTGCTCTCTTCCTTGACCTTCGGGGCTTTCTCTCTTTTTTTGGTGAGGAAGATTAGCCCTGAGCTAACATCTGTTGCCAGTCCTCCTCTTTTTGCTGAGGAAGATTGGCCCTGAGCTAAGATCTGTGCCCACCATCTTCCTCTATTTTATGTGGGATGCCTGCCACAGCGTGGCTTGATAAGCCATGCGTAAGTCCACGCCCGGGATCCGAACCCATGAATCCCGGGCCGCCGAAGCAGAGCGCACAAACTTAATCACTATGCAACTGGGCCAGGCCCCCACTTCTGGGCTTTCTGCTGCTAGAAGCCCACTGTTTGCCCTGTGCCATGACCCCTGTCCTCCTGATTGCCAGGCCCTGCAACTTCAGCACTTTCTAGACTCTTTTAGGATGTTCTTTCTGACTGCTGTTCCATCTAGTTCCAGCCTCCAGCTCAATCTTGGACAAGGAAAGGTTCTGAGCTTGATTATCGTTATCACCCTGACTGAAACACTCAACCCAGGTTGAGATTGTAGGGAAATTCTTCACTTACATAGTTTTCAAATGTTGACCCATGTGAGTATTGCCTGTTCAAAAATCTAAATTTAAAAACCACATGTGTGGAGTGAGGAAGAGGAGGGAGATAAGGGAGACTCTGACAGGAGAATGGTAACTAGAAATGGGACCGCAGGGGAAAGAACAGATCCTGGACATCCAATTCTGAGCCCTCCCATAAAATTCAGACCTGCATGGGTCTGATACAGAGCTTTAATTTATGATCATGACTAGCATAAAATGTCAGTTTTCTCATAGCAGCTAAGTTCATTCTCATGGTCTTTTTTCCACAACCTCCAAAGCTGGAGCAAAAATTCTACTCCAGTAATAAGTCCAACCCCCCATGTATAGACAAACAATATGTCAGATCTCAGTGGAAAAAAATTCTGTGCCTATTTTTAGTTCCTCTGAGATACCTAG